GGGGCTGAGTGTCATAAGAAGTTTCATGCTTCAACCAAAAGCTCAAGGACCACCACTAAACGCAGATGCATTCATGTTGCCTGCAGACCCAACAGGAAAGTGTGAGCCAGCAAGTACTGAGATCTATAGATTTTTCCACATGATCAAATATTCAATTCAGTGTTTCAGTAAGACACTACAAGTAAAGCACACAATGTAACATTTATGGTGGTGGGTATCTTAAATACAGAGAGATATCCTTCTGGATTTCCAGGCAAGTGGGTATCAACTGTATCTCCACTGAGGCAGACAATTCCACCAGATCTATGGAGAGGCAACCTTGCTCAGTGTAAGAATGCATGTTTTTCAAGGTATTTTTAACAATAAAAACTGTAAATGAATCAGTGCTCAATACATAGTTTTAATGCCATACTGTGGAAGATCTCAGAAAATTCAATAGCATCTCGATGGAAACAAGCATGTCATAGAGATAGAAAACCAAGCTGCAGTTTCCTTTGTTTTATTTAGGTTTACAATGTTGGAGAGACTCACCGAGCTGCTTCATGAGAGCGAGGGGCAGGATGACACTGGCCGACACCATAATGACCAAGTAGTTTCCATTCAAATACCACAGACTGCAGAGACAAATCAGGTTTACTTTAGCCACAGCCATATTTTAAACACACAAGAACAGCACACAAACGCAGACAAAAAAGAACGGAAAATATGTCCTTAACACTGGATTATTTATGTTTCATTACTGTTAAAAAATGTTTTAATATAGCCTATAGATGATGATGATGATGATGATTATTATTACATTTAGATTAAAACCAAACTCCAAAAACAAAACCACAAAATCCTAAATTAAAAATCTGAATTGCACATTGCATAGTATTAATTATATTGTTACTCATGTCAACTTGCAGTTTTTAAAGTGGACACAGGACAATAAACAGAAGTGGCAGCCGCAGTAGCTTAAAGAGCTCAATGTCAAGCTATTTAAGACACTATCCCCTAACTCTTATGCATATAGAAGCTCTTTGTAGCCAATATCCCTGTATAAGCTGCTAAGCCTGTTATTCTTAACCATAGAGGACTGAGCCAGGGCAATACAATAGAGCATGCTCCCTTGAAAGCAGAGGTCCTGTGCCTTTGATGTATTTGAGGTTATAGACCTGCACACTCTGGTCAGTAGGTCATCTTACACATGGGAGTCCAGCCAGACCTTTGGCCACTCTGTCCAAGTTCAAGAACTAAGAGAGGAGGAGCTTAAAATGGCCGCTATGTAACCCAGATATCAAAATGTCTGCGTCTAATCCTGTTATTATGATCTAATGTTTACAAATGCCACATATTTTTACTGCATACCTAAAAATTGATTAACTATTTTCCAAAGTTATCTTTATGTAAGTAAACAATAGATTCTATGTTTTAGCCATAGAAGGTTTGATATTAAGTTTTACTGTTATTTAAAAAAATGTTGGATTTACCCCAACCTGTAACTAGTCCTTAGTGCCAACCTCATACAACATAATGATGTAATAATAACAATCTAATAATTACTTATTTATACAATTTGCAGTATGGTACCAGCCCTTAAACTAAAAGAGAGATCTATTTACTAGAGACCACCATTTCATAACCTTCCATATAGCTCATCCTTGGTGCCCTGCTGTTTCTGCTTGTGTTCAGACTAACGCATAGCAATCCCTGAAAAGAACAGTGTGTCTTGGTTGTGACGGTTGGCCCTGGTCTAACCTGGCCTCACGCTTCACTGGGATCCACATCACCTGCTGCTGTCTATAATCCGGGTACAAACATAATACTTCGAACACAATCAGTGCTAAGCCTTTCTACTAAGTACAATAGATTTGAACAAAAATATCAGAATTTAAAGAGACATGGCCATTGTAACTAAGAAATCAAATAGAATAAATAGAATCAGAAAATTCTGGTTAAAAATGAAGAGAGTAATTAAAATGAAAATGTAAAAAAATCATGCTGTTTTAATGTGTATTCTTATTTAATATGTACAATTATTATTCATTATTATTATTAAATGAGTAGGCATAAATAGGTAGCCACTGAGACTTTCTCAGCCTCTATGGGTCTTAAGTGGAGTACAACCTTTTCCCATTCAAGACTACAAATACTGACAAACAACTACTTTTTAGTGTCAAATATATGTATTTTGTTGGGATGGCAGAAGAAAACATTTTGCGGGCATGCAAGGTAAATATATAGTTGACTTGGGAATTGAACCAGCAACCCTCATCTCTATGCACCATGAAAGGTCAAAATAGCACAACAAAGAATCATAACACAAATATTGTCTGTAATTGTTTGTATGGTAATAATATACAGTGTTGAGATGTGCTTTGCGTCCACTGGCTGCAGCAGGGCTGTATTTCCATTCCCGTTTGAGAGCTGAGTTTGTTTTTAGATTTGAGGTAGCAGCTGGGATCCCTCTAAGCCCCTGCATGGCCTCACTGTCCTGGGTAGATAGTGACGCGCACAGGCCTGGCACATTCTGAGATTTACGACAAAGGCATGTATATGCGTAACTTTCACACAGATACCCAAAAATGACCTCCATTGGATCAACCAATCACAGGGCAGTATTGTCATCACGCCCCCCCAGTGTGAGTCAATGAATGCCCTCAGTCTGGACCCAGCCCCTTTGACCTGGCAGCACTAGCTGGCATCATATGCCTGTCACAAGTGGAAAATATCAATACTCACTCCGAGTTGGGGTCGGCCTTCAGGAAAGCCTGGATCACGAGAGGAAGCTCGGATTTCACAATGTACAAGTAGCTGGACATGGCTGCAGAATAAAAAACAGGTTAGATTATTGATGGATCACATCTATGGAGAAGCAAGTAGGAATGTATCTTTTTCAATGTTTGTATTTGTTTGTACAATAAAAACACCTATAATTAAATAAATGCAAGATGACTATATTTAATGTAATTCTCCATGAGGAAGGCTCTTAAGTGTGCATTTATATTCCACATTTATTAATTGCTTCAAAATTGGATGGAGGCTCCATGTCTCCCTGGAGATGATATTGCTTTAACTAGAATGTGTCATAGTATGGCATTAAACATATTCAAGGAGAGTAGCAGGTGAGTAACAGGCCATGTTACAGGTCAGATCTCTGGAGAAACAAAAACCGTCTCAGTACAAATGCATGTTTTTAAATGAGCTGTGTAAAAATGTGCAATGAAGTAATGCATGACAAATACATTTAATGTCATAATGTGGAATCAAACCTCCCTAGGCTTAGTAGGCTTTGTAACTCTACTCTGCACTTAAAGTTACTTTGTAAGTGTCTTACAGGCAGCATAACATTTCACATCAGTTTGACATATGGACCCTCATTATTGTGTTCTCACCTCCAATGTTCTGCAGGGTGATTGCAATCCCAGCAGCCATTTTTCCTGGAGTGCCGAACGCTCTGTACCCCAGCTGTTCATAAGCTCTGATTCCTGGTAAAGTTTGTTATTGGGTTTCAGTCATTGGTCTAAACATGATGATTGTTAGGCCTGTCACAATAGTTACTATATTGACTTACCATTTAATATATGGCAGAAAGTGTACTGTGTATACTTTTTCTTTGCATTAATACGAAGTTTTATGTTTACTGATTTATTTATTTATTGTAGTTTTGCAAGTTTATGTGATACAATTTCAGCTGTAGTTGGTTGAATAATTAACATCTATGACACATTATAGATACTAGAATTAACTACTAAAATGCAATTGTGGTATTTATTTTACATTTTTACAATATGGTTTAAAAGGCTGACTGCTATAGGATTATTGTGTCAATGGTATACAGCAGTCTTGATATGATTATTTATCGCATTTTTTATTTTTTTTTCTGTAGCAGTCTATCATACTTCAAAATGTGTTATCGTGGCAGGCCTAATGACTGTAATACAATTTTTATAAAGAGAAAAGAGCCTTACCGACAACCCCTGAGGCTTTGAGCAGCAGGTGAATGGAGTAAGATGACAGGGCAGCTACAGCGGTCAGAAGAAACCTATGAAAAACAAAGCAGGGATGACGTCTAATCAATAGGCATCATGTAGACGTTGTTTTATCTACTATAGCAGACAGATTTTTTAGGGTGAGCTTCTCAAAATTGTAGAAAAAGAGGGACAAGTTGAATGTTACATGGGGCGGAACATGGAGAGATGCACTTGGGGAAATTTAATCAATCAGCACACATGGTTCATGTCAAAACAAACTGAATCAACAAACAAAACACTAAAAAGTAGTTTGTCACACTTAATAGTCTGACTGCAGAACATAGGAGAGAGTGGCTTTTTATGCACACAGTCCTCTACTGTACCACCATATGTACATTTAAAACAGTTAAAGGGACATAAGCACCAAAACTGCCCTTGGGGCTCAGCTGTCCAGACAACACACAGTACATATTTATACAACATACAAAATCCATCATGTCTTGTCAACTCCTCTGCCATGATTAAGTTACATCAAACCAGTGGAGGCCAACTATATTTAGTCAGTTCAAATGTCTTCGCTTTACAGTCATTACTTATAGGATGCACAGATTTACCCCTCTTAAAGTTGAGAAACCACAATATATAGATCTTACTTCCTGTCTTTGGCTATTCTGGTCGTGTCCTTTCACTAACTGCAGCTACATAAACAGTGACTACGTGACCAAACAACCAGGGAGCTGAATAGATTATCTAGTTATTTTTGGGGTGGTTTTGTCTGTGGGGTAACCGTGGCAGTGCTGGGGCATGAGAAGAGGGTCAGTGGTCACTACATGTTACAAGGTGCCAAAAATCATTGTGGTGTTAGTGCAAACACTGTTCCCTCTGGATGTAAGAGGGAGTTCCAGAGATGCTACACATTGCTAACATATAATTCATACACTAGTAGTGAAACAATGCTAGTATTGAAAAACATCACATAAATAGGACAAAGCTGGTCCTTTCCTAAAAAGTACAAGGTCTAGAGATAGATTAGGCCAATATTTGCGCTCTTTAGTATACCAGTCTCCAAGAGAGACTGATATTTAGGTTGGGCCAACCCACCCAAACTAAATAAAGAATATGCATAAAGTTTTCCTGTCGAGAAGAAGGAGGATGGCAGAGGCACTCTGATTTAGAGTGTATTAAATACACTGCAAATCAGAGTGCCTGTGCCAACAAGAATTCAAGCCCTGTGGTCTGATGAGTTTTGGTCCAGTGCAGCACTCCAGTATGGTAATTTTTTATGTATAAAGTTTTATTTGAAATCTTAAGAATATGCATAAAGTTTATGCCTAGCACAAAAAATATAACAATCTAATTAAGACATTTTGGGGCTATACTTACAGAAAGAGGAGGATGCCTGTGTTAGCCATGGCATAGGCCAGTCCCAGGATCCCACTGCCCATGATGGCATTTCCCAAGTTAAAGACAGACATGCCAAATGAAGTCTTTCCTTCAAACTGAGGGAAATTTACACATATTGATTTAAAATAGTATAAATATGACTATATTTCATAAGTTTGAATTTTTTTTCTTACATCTGTGAATCGTATGGGCTTCTTTCCATCACCACTGGGTAAAAACTCTGCACTTTCCAGTGCTCCATCAGGGTCTTCATATCTGCAGGACAAATGGATAAATGGGAGAGACTAAATATGTTTTATTCTTTTTGAATAACTATTTATGATCATGAATTTTAAACATGCCCTCCATGCATCGTTAGTGCATACCTGACAGGTGACAGGCCATTTCTGAACAAGGATCCACCCGGTGTCAAGAAGAACCCAAAGCCAAACCATGCATTTGAGAGATCAAACAGTGAAAGGAAGAGCCTGGTTATTCATCTGTCTTTCTCTGTGTGGTGTACTCAGGTACTGCTCCAAAGAGGTTTGATTTTCTCCGTCACTCTCTCTCCAAAGGTAAGATTTGTTTGAAAAAACTTTTAATTTTTAGATAATACTAATGATTTAGGGCACAAAAGCTAAAAAAAAAAAAATAAAATTATATATATATATATATATATATATATATATATATATATATATATATATATATATATATATATATATATATACATATCAGAAACTGAAATAACAAATTTCTAGTCAATCTATAATCCAAAACTAATATTGACATTTCCTTTGAGCCACACAATACCAGATTATTATTGTTTCTCTGTATAGAAAGATAGAGAAAGACGAGGGGCTAGCCAGGCTAAGATAAGTGATGCTGTGTCTTGCTACATCCAATAAACGACTTTCAAAATGTCTATCGTTTATCATTAGTAGCAGTAGATCAATATGTAACTTGATCTGGCATTTACACAAATATAACAACAAGAGCAAGAAGCGTGTGTCACCATGCAGAGTTACAGTCCCAGAACAGACAGTCAAAACAGGGCAAAAGGTAAAAAAACTTAATTTGTTTAGAAAGAAAAAACTCACTGATCCTCGTCCAGCTGTGTTTTCATTTCACTTTTACCATTGGATAAAATGTTCATCTCCGACTGAGAATGCTCCATTTTGGGTCAGGTGTCTCACTTTGGCACAGGATTTGTTGTTTTTGTAAGGGCCTGTGGAAAAAAAACAGAAGATTAGTAATTACATTTACTTACTTTATTATGTACTTTATTGTCAAGTATTTGTGGTGGAGAGGCATTTGAATGTTTCTTGGCATGTACACTTGAAATTACACTTGTAATTAAAATTGTGATGTTTCTTTTCCCAAGACAAAAAATGTACATAGTGACATCCCACGTTCAGTATTTTAGTTCAAGTATTATGTTCCACTTTTCTTTTCATTCCAAAACAGGTGCCACCTTTTAGTGACTAAGACTGACTCTCTTGTTCTATTTACACAGTACAACTCCCACATCGTCAGTCCTCGACGCTGCTGTGTATACAACAGCCACTGAACATGGTTTCCCAATACAAGAGACATAGTTTTGAAGATCTAATGACCCAAATATGACCATTTTTGTAAGATGTTTTTTTTACCTATTTAATTACTTTTGGATGTAGGTTTTTCCAGAACATTAGTACTGAGAAACGCAAACAGACCACACTGTCATAGAATAAAGTCCATTTGATCATAAAATATAGGTCACTGGGCAATAGTAGCTCAGTTGGTAGAATATTTGTCCACTGATCCGAAGGTTGGTGGTAGACTAATTTGAAGTTGGATATCCAAAATATCTTCTGATATATTTGTGATCAGGATACTAAAAATCTAGAAATTTTTATGAATATCACCCACCCCTACAACCATCATTCCCATTAGCAATGGTCTCACAGCCTGAAGTCTTCCTCAAAATCAAAGGCTAATTGTGTGGACAAGTTCAGAGGCTGAGGGTCTGCCCAGACACAATGAAGATCTGTTGGTGTGCTCCTGCAGCCATTGTACCATGGCTCAATTGTTTCCACATTTTGCGTTCAGCCAAAGATCACTGTCACTGGTATTTATACTTCAAACAAGACTCACATTCATACTGCAGTTCTGATACTTCAGAGACTAGGCATGTGTCCATACCATAAACAAATAATGGTATTTAGACTTACAACTGCACGTTTAGGAACGAGAGGTGAAAAAGGGACTGCATAATTGAGATTACTTAAGGCTCAGTAATTTCAATACTACAAATCACCAGATTTTTGTTCTACAGTTCTTGTGGCACAGTTGTTAACATTCCTGCCTCATAGCTAAAAGGTCTCAAATTTGATTCACAGTCTGGGTTAGGCCTGCTCTCATCTTCTCTCCATACAGTATTGATCCAGTTTCCAATAATACATTTCCAATAAAGATAAAAACAAACAAAAAACAAAACAAAACAAAGAAAAACACAGAAATGACTAAAACTATTACTGCAATCTTAGAAATATGAATTTATTATTTAAGAAATATAAAGTACTTTTACACCAGTGTAATACTGAACTAGGTTCATTATCGTGACAGCCAAAACATAAATGCTTTATAATTATATCTATACATCACAGTAACATATGGGTCATAAATAATCTTTATGATGTCTTTAATCCAGACACAATCCTCCAGCAGCACCAGCCAGGGTTGGATCAAATGTCAGACAAGTGGAGGCAGGGCAGGGCATCTGAGTTTTTTTTACTGTCAGATACAGTTTCTGCTGTGAAATTTCATCTGTTACAGTCTTCCATGTGGATATCAAGCAATATTCCAAAGCAGCTTTTGGGTAAAGTTACTTAAATACAAATCAAAATGAGAAAAGATCAGAGCAGAAAATTATTTCATTTTGCAGATCTGTATTATGATCAGCAGGAACCAAGTAATTTGTTGAAATGGACAAGTTATTTTGAGCTATAAAGACTGAGACTGACTGAGACTATTTAACATGGTGACATAGAAAGTCTTCAGACAACTGTATTCATTTTTTCTTCATTTTTTTTCCATTGAAGTGTAGACTAAAGATGATTATGAGGTGATGATAAGGCAAGTTGTTATTTTTGTATAAAATCTATAATATTGATGATTTTTATCTGTAATGAATTTGTACTCCAGGGCGACGCAATTCAATGCATTTCAAAATCATTTGAGAGCAGATCCAAAACCTGTGGGTAAAGTCAATCATGGGTGATACTTCTGCGACTGGGAGTGACAGATGGACCAGACGAACATCCTCTGTACCTATAGAAACCTGTGGTCTGGCAAAGCAGCCTAGTGACCCCCAGTGGAGTATATGATGAATAAATGAGTTATACAATATTTTTCTTTAGTCTTTCATCTCTCACTAAGTGGAGCACAGATGCAGGATATTTGAAGTGGTCCTATATCACGTCTGTCATGACCCTGTTGCTCCATAGACATACATTGCACATAGACATATCTCTTTCCACCGGAGAAACTCAACACTCTTTGACGCCAGTGGACTTGTCTGTTACGTAATGAACTTCTGCAGCCCATGGACCTGTGTGACTTCATATATTTAAATATATGGAAGCATAACTGGCTAAGAAGAAGTTACAACTACAAAAGGCACAAATATCATATGTGGTCAAAAAAATGCATACCCAGGTAAGAATTGATAAAACTAGTATTTAAACTATTTCAGCAGGTATCGTTACTAAAAAATAAGTTTGAGGGAAACATTTTGTTTTTTAGTCACTAAAATACTTAATAAAAAACACATGAAAGAAACTACATTTATTTTGAAAATTACACCCTATTGTCTAAAAGAGCGCCCCATCTCATCAGAAAAGCCTGGTCTAGTTAGTACTTGGATGGAAGACCGCAGGGAATACCAAAAGTCACAGTGGCTCTACAGTGGCTCTAGTGGGAACTGACATCATGTCCTTAAGTAGAACACTTCACCTTGCAGGGACATGCATGGTCCACCATACTGAAAAAAATTAAGGAATAAAAAATTACAGGGGAATAAAAAGCATTGCATAAAATAGGTAGGTGAGATAAATAGGTAGGTGAGATCAATCAAATTGATGGTGCAGATTGGCAGTCTTGAGTCTGTCAGTCTACCCCAGGGCAGCTGTTGCTACAACTGTATCTTACACCACCAAATGTGAAGCTGATGAATAATGCACCGTAAAGCGCTTTGGGTGTCTTGAAAACCAGTGTATTTTATTTTTATTTTGGGGTGTCTTGAAAGCCTATATAAAACTCCAAAACACGTATGCAATGTTTATGATAATGATTAGCTATAATGACCCACTCATCTGTGGATTGGGGATGTACAAAGAGTCAAATCTAATGATACAGTATTAGATTTGACTCTTGGTGCAACCTTGAAATGTACTTGTATCATATTGAGTTGTATTTGGGTTCACAGAAGTAATTAAAAGTCCTTAGCATTTCATATTTTATCATCATATGATATGATATCAAAATGTAAACTTGCTTTCCAAGCAGTGGTTATGAATATGGTCAATATTAATAATGTGTGTTCAAAACATTGCTTAATCTTATTGGCTGCCATTGTCTCATTTAAAGCTTGTGCTCATGAGATAATAAACTATAATCAACATCCGTGTTAAATTTCTCTGAGTTATCTTTATTGCTTCTGTTAGTAGTAAAACATATGAGGTATCAGTTTGTATTATAATGGAAATAAAAACAAAACCAATTTTACATTACATTAGTATCATGACTGAAAGTATATATAAGCTACTTTATACTTTACTGCAACTTTGAAGTAAACTCTAGTACACTGAATGTATCATGATTTTCCTCCCTGTCTCCTGTTTTTCTACCAGCAGAGACTTCACAAGACCTTTATGTTTGTAAATGACACATGATAAGTCCATAATGTTGCTTCATGGTGACATTATGTTTAGTTCAGTCAGTATCCCATACCTGCACCCGGTCGATGAAAAACTAAGAACTAGAATAAATATTTGATCGTTACATTTTCTGGTCGAGAGCCAAATGCATACATTTTTCCTGGAACCTAATTCTTTAATCTTTTCTATGGTTTCAACAAGTCAAAGTCCAAGCCTTGTTTCTGTGTGAATTCATTTGAACTTGAACTGGGTGAAATGAGACATCAATACCACATATCATATAGTCAATAATATATGGAGACACTGAAGTTAAAGGATAAAAGTAAAAACTAGAAAAGCACTCAGAGAGCGCAGACCTCCGCCAAGGACTACCCCCATTTTTTATATAAATTGCGATAAAATCAGTCTTCTGGATCAGATCCGCATCAGCCTTTGGAATATGAAAGAGGATCCCATTGTCCATCCCTGAGTCAAATTTCATGGGGTTTGGTCAATAATTAACCGAGATATTGAGAAACAAAATTTTTGGCCCCATTTACCACAATGTTAACTAAAATTTCAAAGTGATCCAGAATCCAGGATTTCTTCTGGATCACCCCCAAAATGAAATCTCTTCTTCCTTTTCACATTTCCAACAAATCCTGAAAATTTCATCAAAATCGGTCCATAACTTTTTGAGTTATGTTGCTAACAGACAAACAAACAAACAAACAAACAGACAAACGCCGGCAAAAACATAACCTCCTTGGCGGAGGTAATGAAAAAAAAAACAGTGTGTCATAATATGGATTACTCTTGACTGAGCTAGTGCATGTACTGATCATTGATAATATTAAAATATTGTTTTCACTCCAGTCCATGTCAGCTGTCTGACTTTTATGGCCATACCATGAATAGGCATTTTAATTATTATATTTAGTTATCAGTGAATATATTTAGCTGGAACAATATATAGGACTTAAAATGTACAACCTCTTTGTAAAGGTGGGTACATTTAGGGTATTTTTGTTGTTATACAATATGATTTGAGCTGTAGAGAGTTGAAAAAACTAACTTCTGTGGTTAATTATTGCTTCATTCTGATATATATTTGTTGCAGACAGCTCGTGTCTACTTAAAATGGTTTACAACAAATAACTTGCATTATTGTTTTTGTGTCAGTGGCAGAAAGTAGTTTCAGTATTATGTATAAATATCTCTATAGCAATATATCATGCTTCAAAATGTGTTATCGTTAGCCTAAGTAGAAGTACAATTTCAAAATGTTCTTTTCTATTTTGAGGGAAGCAATGGTAAATCAGAGTAGTTTCTGATTTCTAGAAAGCTGATCGATAAACTAATGCAGTTTGTCAAAACAAACATGGCAGCTGATCTTATACATAATAAAGATAGAAAAAAATCACACAGGAAAGGAGAAGTAGCTCAAATTTGTGTCTAATTAGCAGTCAAAACACTAAGCATACATCCATGGATATGTCTTCTGCTACTGAAACATGAGCTTCAAACAAGCAGCTGTGATTCGAATTTCAAAAACTTAACAGAAAGATCATTTGTAGGCATACCTGCATTCATTAGCAGGTAGGATTAACTGGCCTGTAACATCATACCATTATAGAAATGAAATATGCAAAACACATTTTCATGTTAATTAATAAGCTATAAGATGACAAAGTTGATGAAGTTGGGTCTAAACAAACCAATGCACTTGATAAGGTCAGGACTAAGGTTGCAGATTAGAGGAAGCCTTGACAATGATATACTTGAAATAGCTTCCTAAGTATGTGGCACTTAACACTAGACAGTCACTATCAGATTGAATGTTAAGTGTATTACTACCCTGACCTCCTCCACACACCTGTCCAGCCCTAAACACATACAGACCAGCGCTCCCTGATCATGAGGTCAACAGCCTCTGTGAGCCAAAGCCTTATCTGTTCACTCTTCAGCGTGACGAACTCTGGATCAGAACCTCTTTGTTTAAATAGGGGCCAAGTCAAAAATGCCCTTCACCCACATAATAATAGATACATGAGGAAAGACCAGTATCCATCTCCCTTGTTCATCTAAATGGAATGTAATGAACTGTATCAAGTATATTTAACTATTGCATGTTCACTTGCAGTATCATAGTGTCATGGTAACTGAACACTTAACTCCCACATTGAATGAAAAGGTTCTTACTGTTGCTCCTCTGCAGTATTTTCACAGCCAAATACACAATGCAGTTTTTAACTATTTCATGTGTCCACGCCAATTTTTTCTATACTATGAAACTCACTGTACATTGATAGCAGTAACTGGTCAAAGAAATGATAGACCAAAAACTAGTTATGTTTTTGTCAGTTCAAAACTAAAGCACAATGGAAATTCAAGTAGGCTATCACCTATTAAACAAGTAATTAAACATGAATAACTGATATAAGAAACATGTCATTGTCTGCAAAGGCTACTGCATTCAAATAGATAGGAAGAATTATATTTCAGCATTAATATCCAGTGTTGGGATGTAACAGATTACATGTACCGGCGTTATGTAATTAGAGTACAAATTATGAGTAACTGTATTTTAGTTACAGTTACTGTTTCCATGAGTGGTAATTTGATTACAATTACTTTGTTGAAATAAATGCACTAAAATCAGAACTAAAACCAGGACTAAACCAGGACTAAACTAGGACTAAAACCAGGACTAAACCAGGACTAAACCAAAACTAAAACCAGTGCTAAAACAGGACTAAACCAGGACTAAATCCAGGACTAACCAGGACTAAACCAGGACTAAAACCAGGACTAAAACCAGGACTAAACCAGGACTAAACCATGTCTAAACTAGGACCAAACCAGGTCTAAAACCAGGAATAAACCAGGACTAAACTAGGACTAAAACCAGGTCTAAACTTGGACTAAACCAGGTCTAAACAATATGACTTTTAACAGTAGGGTGGACATACTTTAAGGCAGCAGTGATCTTATATAAAAAGCATTTCTCTATCAATAACATTTTTAATATGGACTGGGCTTTTTATTGTCTTTAAGCAGACAAAACATCTCATGTTAAGATATCCTACTCTTTGCTACTCTACAGCAAACAATTGCCTGTCCATGGAGACTTGGGCTCAACAGCCAGTTTGAAGAGAACAAACAAGAAGTTGCTACATTCATGTAGTTTTAAAAACCATGACAATATCAAGTAATGCAAAGTATTCAGTCGTACAGGTAGAATCCATGGCAAAAGGAGAAATTCAACTGGACAAAAGTTTCTTTGGTCGAATACATTTCGCAGCTCATCCAAGCTGCTTCATATCCCAATGTTTATGTTCTGTTTAGTCATTAGTGATTTTATCATTTTAGCCTACAAACTCTTGCAGCAGTAAAAAAAAAAAAAAAATAAAAAAAAAAAAAGTCAATCACGGTATCTTCTTTCGATATAGGATGTGATTTAAACATGACTGTTTCACATATCAGTGCTAGTCACCACACAGGCCAAAAAGTGATACAACTTTTACTATTGCGCGCAGCACCTCCTACTCCGCGTGTCAAATAACAAAAGAATAGCACTTCGGATGACTGCCTTGTGTCTCAAATACCACAATTACATCCAGAAAGTAAAACTATTGCGAGGTCTAAGTGATTAGAAATTAATCCGGGTCTCGTTAATAACTTTAAAATGGAATGAGGAACAATCTGTGCGCGTGAGGTTTACATTGTGCCATTTGGTCCCTCGTGCGCATTTCGTCAAATACTATTCTGCACGAAATTAATTTGAGAAATACGGTGGACAACTGCGGTCTACTCTGTTGCTCGGTGCTCCTCAAAGCACATGGTCGTGACATCTGGATTGGCGCTCAATATGTTGAACAACGTGCCACTCCGTCAATAACGCACTCCCACACAAAGGCAGATACCCCGTTTCTTCAACCACGAGACGATACAGGCTGTTTAAATGTAGGTTAAATGGTCATGTTTTCTCTCTGGCTACATAATTGACGGTATCTGTAGCCATACTCCAAAACCAACAGTGCGATTCTCCTTCTTGACACTATAAGATAACCATTCAATCAAAAATGATTATAAATGTTAAATCTTTTACCTCTTGATTTGTTTCTTTAATCCACAGGCGAGGTAACTGGTGAACACACACACTGTGGGAGTTCTTCGCCTTCCCGTTTTTCCAGGATTAAAGGCTCTACAGTGAAGGCGCACCGTCTACCTCACCAAGTCAGCAGCTCAATTTGCGCTTTTAGAAGCGTTGTGGACATTCTATCCCCCCAGAAGCTGAACTGTGGGGGTCGTAGCTTCTAAGGTCCGCCTCTTTTGTTTCACCCCTCCCCGCTTCATCATATGGCTGCGCCAAGCTACTTTTCCACGTTTAGTGAAGAGAGGAAAAAAGCAATGGTCTATTAGGCTACCACTGGTTGCACAACTCCACATCTGAGTAGCATTGAGGCTGGGGAATAAGATCTGGTCTGTGTATATTTATTTTATTTATGATGTTTTATTTATGGCAGCACATTTATATTTTAGTCCAAAAGACAGATGCAACTTTTCGTATTTTGCTGGGAATCTCTCTGCAATTATGATAAAGTGTTTTTCCTAACAAGCTATAAAACTATTAAGAAAATGTAATCTATGTTTTATCCTGGGTGTTGACGGTAACACAGCTTCAGGTAGACGTCTAAATGTTTTACGAATACTGTGCACCTGGTCTATTTAGCGCCATCTAGAGCCCATAAAAATGTAAAGCAAGAGATAAAAAGTCATTCCTAAAAAAAGTAGCCTTCATTGTTTTACTGTCTGCATCTGCTTACTACTTTCTTCTTACTCAGGTTAAAACAAGAACAACATCAAAGAAAAAAATGGTTACACTTCCCACTATGACAAAAACTGAATGTTGATAATAAATATTGCCACTATATATGCCACTTCTTAAGATATGCTTTTGTTATTTGTGAGTTGTACCGTTTGAGAAAAACAGAACAAAAGTGCATTATGTAAGGTTTTGTCCTTTCAGTTACATCAACTACTTACAAATTGGAATTCAGATGTCACACACACACACACACACACAAATTCATTTTTTCAGACAACTTCGTACTTCTATTTTAGTAAATGTTTTGCTATTCTATGAAGTTCTGGTTGCATAAATCACCTTTACTCTTATATTGGTCATGTAATATCAACAGTAACAAAACCATAGTCGCACCAAAACTGGTCAGTGTGACATGAGGCCAAATTTTTCCCCATAACTCTAGGAATATTATTTAATCTTCTGTACTACCATCTTTATTTAACTCAAAACACTTGAACTTTATACACAGTTACATGCATGTTATGTTTCAAGTAAAGCTCAAATTCATGACTGGTGTTAAACGTTTATTTGAAATCATTATGCAAGCCAACAGTTATTCCAGGAGTGAGGGACTGAACTCAGTGTGTGCTTGCCATGATCCCATATTTTGCAGTAAAATAATAAAGCAAAAGGAATGAAGCAGGGGAGATCCCACCTTTGTCGACAGGTCTCACAGTTTAAAGATACTTATGTAACAGAAGAGGCAGGAGGTGCAGAACATTTTCCAAGAGATGGGAATATCAAAAGAAAAGGTTCTCCACGGGTAACACATCCAGGAAGATAAAGAACAAGTATTCACATTTTGTTGACACAGTATTGTAGTTACTTTCTGTGCATTAACCACATGGAAGAATATCAGTCACGCAAAATCTAAAATGACCATACGTTGTTTTTGGTTTGGCAAAGCACAGGAACTTTGAAACTGTACAATACTTCAGTTCTTTCACAACAGATAGTTCAATAGTTCATAAACCAATCACCAAATTTTTCAATAAAAATATTGCAATTTACAGCACATTTTGCGGTGCCAATTCAGACTCAGGGTTCCACATAAAATATTGAACCCTTTTTTACTTGACAACATATCTTTTTACTTGACAGACGGTAACAGACACTTGATCTGAAACAGTGTTTTGGTCAAAAGATTTAAAACACCAGTATACTAGTGTATGTCACTTGAATCTTTTATTTTCTGTACAAACATCTTTCATAAACTGTACAAGTTTTGACACAATCAAAATCATCAAAAAACAACATGTTAATAAGGGATGCTATGTACAAAGGATAAATAATTCACACAATAATGCCCAGGTACAGAATCAAACTGAGGTCTAATTATAAATGTCCAAGTATAAATGACACAATGACTTTTGTTACCGGAATAAATCTTATGCAAGTTACTCCAGTTCAGTGAATCGGGCAAACATGGCTTTACGAACAGCATCTTTGTATGTGTCAGATGGGGAGAGGGTGTAGTTTGAACCTTTGATGCCAAGACCAGCTCCTTTGGTTCTCAACTGAGCCTGAAATTATGCAAAACAATGTCAAGATTGAGTTTGAATGACCAATATACCTTTAATAATATAATCTCATGTTAAGATACTCTTTTACAGTCCTGAATCTGAGACTGTAGAAGAAAATTTGCCATTTATTTTTAAATGGGCTTGAAAATCCATGCATGTATCACTTTATAATACTGTTTGTCAAACATTTAAGTACCTCGATCGGAGTTGTAATTCCTTGCTGGTTTCTTCCAAGTCCTTTGCCTTCTTTCCAGCCCATAGCCTGCAGCATTTTGTTCCCAATATTATCACTGCTGAGACCATCCTTTGTAGGCTGTTCATAGTTACTGTTGAAAAAAGTAAACAATTAAACATAAGCCAACATCAACATGTAACAAACTATTTTCAGTAGTAAAAAAATAAATATAAAATATATATATATATATATATATATATATATATATATACATATATATACATATACACATATACACATACATGGCAGGTGTGGCTGGTTGGCTGAATTTTTTCTTTTTGGGTGCTGGAGGTTCAGGAATACCATATTTTTCTCTTCTCTCAGCTGCCCTGTCTCTGTATTTCATCTGCAAATAATAAACAAATAAATAATACAATTCAATACAATACAATACGGAAAATTAGAAATGTTAGTTTCAAGGCAAACCTCTGACTCTCTCCTCTCCAATTCTTCTAGCTCAGCTTCACTGAGTTTGGATCTATGAAGGACCTCCAAGTTTTTCTGCAAACCAAAATAACCAAGTAAGAAGAATATCAAATAAATTTTAATTTTGGCCATATTTCAAATAGCAAGTGGTGCAGGTACCTTATGCAGATCAGACAACTGCTGATGTCGTATTAAGCTCTCTTTATTTGGGAACTGCCTCCTGCACAACAAACAGGCCATTTTCTTCCAGTCTGTGAGTTTGTCTTGGCCATCTCCACCCTCCGGGTCTGCTGCTCCTGCCTCTTCAGGGTCACTGTCACCACTGTAGGCTGCCACCAGGCCCTGTAAGCACCATAAAACAAAATGTAAACAGTAATATTCAGTGATAGTGGAAAGCATTAGAACAAACACTGACTTTGCTGCTGTTAGCTGAGGTGCTAGGGGCCTCCTCTTCTTCTGGTATGAGTCTGTCTAGAGCTCCCCCTTGCTACAAAAGAAATAAATATCCTTAAGTAAAAGAAGTTGAACATACATCACACACCAGTGGTTTAAGGTGTGTTCTTTGGTTAGCCGCAAGAGCCTCCTCACAACATACCTTCTTTTCAAACAATGTGAAGCCAGCATCAGCGGCTGCTGCCTCCCTTCTCTCTTCTTGACTTATCGGCTGAAAGCTGCTCTTGAAGTTCTCCTTTTGTTTGTTGAGACTTTTGGCCCACCGCTCCATGTCCTTAGCAATCTATAAGACAACAAAGTCTTATGTAATCCAAAAACTCAGCACTATTTAGATATATAGTACATATATACACATGCATCCTACCTGCTGAGCGGTCTTGCTCTTCGGCTTCTCCTTCTTCTCTTTGCCTTCTTTAGGTTCCTTGTTAGCTGCTGTAGATCCACTGGCATTAGCATTTTGTTCAGCATTAGAGTCAGCCGGGACATATGTCTGCTTCTCACTGTCCCAGTACAAATACTGCTGAGTCTGAGGGTTGTAGTAATACTAGAAGATAAGAAACAAATTTATAAAAAATTAAAAAAATATATATATATATATATATATATATATATATATATATATATATATATATATACACATACATACATACATACATACATACACACACACATATATACATACATTAAAAAAAAAAATCACAAAACTTTGAAGATGAGTAGTACTTACATGAGTGTTTGGGTCATAGTAAAGACCAGTTTGTGGGTCATAAAAATAACCAGATGACTCATCATACTGATAAGCGGAAGTGTCTGGTACAACTAACAAAAAAAAATTAAGAATTTGATAGAATACAGCAGATAGTATTACACCTTTCAAAGTCAATTAGAAAGTTGTTCAGCTTGCATACCAGTTGCTAGGTCAGTTGTCTGTGTGGTACTCATTAATGCAGCATTCACTGCTGCAGATCCCTGGACGACGGCTACAGGTAGAGCCATAGTTTCTACACCAGTGAGATGTCCCGTTTGCTGCTTTGTGTCCAACTGCTGGGCAAGAGGCAATGCCTGCAATGTAGGTGCATGTGTATGATTTAACAATGTCTAAAACGGAACCATCATAATTAGCACTTGTTATTTATCTTACCTGTACAGCGGGTTGAGCAATTATATGAGGTTGGTAAACTTGAGGAGTCTGTGAAATGACCACACCAGCTGCAGTAGGAACCATATTTACGGCTGGGGCTGCTGAATAGAGCGGTGCATTAGTTTATATTGTGCAGTTTTGTTAAACTACTACACTGACTGACTAGACTTAGACAAACTTTATTGATCAACTACCACTATTATTTGGATTAGTTAAAATGTTATTTCCAAATCATACCTCCTAAAATCCCATTTCCTTGAGAAGTGCTAGGCCCTGCTGCCTGGTAAAATGCTTGATAGTCCTATAAAACAAAAAGACTAAAACACTTAGAACATTACAGTGTTCTTTGAAATCACTGAGGTTAGGAGTTTCCAACATACCCGAGGCACATAACCTTCTTGTAGATAGCTGTATTCAGACATACCATCTGAACTTGGCTGCGGCTAAAAAAAGATTGGCCTCAGTGAACACAATGCAAAATACTGACTCATTTATTCCAAAACAATCCAAGTACCTGATTGGAGGACCACTGAGCTGCAGCAATTGCTGTGCTAGCAACAGAGAAGGCACTGACGCGATTCCCATCTGGTAGCAAAAGGTCTCTGATTAAAAAGAATGGTTACAGTTACAGTCAAGTCTGTCTTAAATTGACCAACGTTTCAATATTCAATGTAATGTCAAAACACTTCCACTGTGATACTCACTTTCTAGCACTTTTAGCATAATCGACACCTATTGTTTTGCCATCAAGTTTTAGAGGTGGTTGCAAGCCTTGTAATATAGTCAGGAGCTGAGAAGCTTCCTGCAAGAGAAAAAAAATAAATCAGAAATGCTCACCAAAAACTACCAGGTAGGAAGATTCATCATTTCAAAAAAGGTTTACCAGAGGTGAAGACAACTGTACGAAGGCAAAGCCTCGGTTCTGGCCTGTCTGCTTGTCCTTGATGAGACGAATGTTGTTTGATGAAAGATTGGCATAGGGTGCAACGGCTGAAATTATGGCTTCAACTGAAGTGAGGGGAGCAATGTTTCTCAAGATGAGGGCTGTACAAACACAAGATATACACATTTCAGGTCTCATGGATACAGAAAGTAGTATGCAATTAAAACTCCAAGTTCTTACTGTCTCCATAAAAATCTAGAGTTGGTGGGTTTTCAGCAGCACCAGAATTCTCACCATCTGTTGAGACAGTACATGTTTAATGTCAGCACACAAACATGCAAAAAGAACCGACCCTTCCTTATATCCATGTTGACTTCATACGTTTCTACTTTATTGACCCCCACCCTGATTTCACTGCAGATCTGTGTTCATTTTCAGTATTTTTTTTTAGCATAAAGCAGGTGTACAGGAGTTGTCATATTAAGATTTAAAAATAAAGATTACATGTCTTGAGCTTTTTGCCTCTGGGTTGCTCAGAAGGCAGCAGTCAGTGGCCTCTTGTGGATTTGACAACTTACCGGCTTTGGCTGCTCCACACCTGAAGCACTTCAGCCTCCTCCGGAAATTGTACAGGCCACACTGCAAGTAACCGTTCACATCATTTTTATTATTCACCTTCTAAACCTCAGTGCTGCCTCAAGACGCAAACCATACTTACCCATGACACAACCTAACCTTTACCACTTGCATACAACTTAACAGCAGATACAGCAACAAACATGTGATCCTACGCTAGCATTTTAGACTGTATGTTGCTAATAATCTATTTGTCTATATATCAATTTTATATACATGCAGGTAATGTAGAAATACAGGTGTATAACTTACAGTGTTACAAAGCCAGTCTTCAAACTTGTTCCTGGGGTTACTGTAGTGCATGTCCACATTTTTCCCTTGGATGATTAGAAGATTCTGTGAAAAATGAAACAAGCATTAATAAAATGATCTTTTTATTATTTGTTATTCATTTGAGCAGGCAGTATTGGAAGGGAGAGCATGGGGAGAGGGACCCCACCAGATAGCCTCTGTGTTTAAGACGAGCACATGTTGTATGTGTGTGGGTGTCATGTATAAAGCTTCTAAAAGGTGTTTGGGACCCGAGTGCACCAGACTGGGCTGGAGCAAAGTGTACAATGTGATTTATGTAAAAAAACGGATAGGCTTTAGAAAAACATTGTAAGCAAAATAAGTGTCTTGCTAGCAGAAGAAACAAAATAATATAGCTTAAAAAGAGAACTCTACTAAACTCAAAGTAAGAAGTAATTATATTAATAGCAGATGGTAACAGAAGTGTGTTCTTCCTTGATGCTTTAGGGTTTAACCTTTCTTGGTTTATTTATGAATAAATAAATGTTATTTTCAGTGCCTATAGTCACTGTATTGGAAACAGGAGAAATCACATTCTGGTTGCCTTTTGGGTTTTTTCTAGATCCCCAAGATTATAACTAAACTTGGCGATTGTGAAGCAACCTGATTGGTCTCCATCCATCGGGTAGCATCTTGCAAGTGATAAAAGTCCACGAAGGCGAAACCACGGCTTATACCTAGAGACAGCATTCAAATATAGACGGGAGGCGTGTTAGTTAGATGTCCATGGGTATCAATTCAAACTGTTCCACAAACTGCTTCCCAACCCAGGCCTTGTGTAGTAAACACTTGGCCACTTGAGTTTACTATAGCTTGGATTCCTGCATATGCTTGACGCACATTTAAGTGATGGATCAGTCTCTTGCTCAAAAGTACTTACCTTTAAATGTTAAGAAGACATCTTTGCACTACAAGAAAGTACTTAGTTTTACATCCAATCAAAGTGCTAAGAGACAGGGTTTGAATGGAAGCAGGTTGGCCCTACAGACAAACTAAAGGGAGATTGTGTCCTGTGCATGTATGGTTCTCACCTGTCTTTTTCTTCATTAACCGAACATCCACAGGCTGGGGGCCCTCCAACTGGTCAAGAGCCATACGGATCTAACAAAATGTACAAATATCTTATTAAATAAGATTTACAAATTGAAAGATTAAAGGTGTGCTGTAAAGACGCTCACATCTTCTTCAGTGATATGAGGAGAAAGACCCCAGAGCATGATTGTTTTACTTTTCTTCTCCTCTCCAGGTTCTCTTCTGTAGTCCTGATCTGGGTAGTCTCCGTCAGAGTGATAACCATCTTCTGACCGGTCACTGTTACGACGTTTCCTCTCGCGAGGCTGAAAAGAAAAAAGATGGGTTTAAAAAGGTGCACTGACGGACTACACATACAATTTAAAAAGTGCATTTGTGAGTTTATTATTAGAACTCAATAATACTTCCTGCAATGTTAAACTGTTTAATTATTTTTCAGAAACTGCCACTTCACTGGAGTAAAATTATGATAACACATGCACTATAACACAAACACCTATCATATACACGTATAACATTAGTAAATGAGTACTTACCTCTGGACTATCTCTTGAACTACGACGGTCCCCTTCATAGCGATCACTTCGTCGATCATCAGCCCAGCGTCGGCCGTCTCTCTCCGCATCTCTTTCTCTTCTGTCGCGCCAGTCCGAATCATCTCTAGATTGTTCTGACCCATATCTACCGCTGCGCTCGGTCCGACTAATCCTGTTCAGCATAAACAATAAGACATATCTGTTAAATAATTTGTACAGTTCTAAAATAACATGAATGCAAAACGAAACACTGCTACAGCTAACTACGCATATTGCTCCTACGTTAGCTTACCTTTTATCGGCTCCCATGTCTTTTCAGTTTCCCAAATACAGGCGCTGTAGTGAAACAAACAATCGTATATTCATAATTTCGGTTAAATATGCACAAATTAATCAAATAGGGATGCAACAATATGTTAAACACTACTATACATACAAAAACATATAAAGCAATAAAATGTCCGAAGGACCGTCCAGCTAGCTAACATAACCTTAGCTCACAAACACGGACAGAAAGCACAAACTGAGCTTCTTAACGCTATATATTTTTAGTGATTTCACGTTACAGTAACTTACCAAAAGAGTTTACAAACAATAATTTTGCTTTATGTGATGTTTTATCGGTGACTAATAGATATAAAATTCTTCTCACGTCCAATGACTTTCGACGAGCAGCTTCTTTATCCCAAGATGCAATAGTGCAGCGTGGAATGGAACTGCCGCAAAAAATTTTGCCCAGATTTTTACCTCCCAGGATTATATGTATATGGTGACATAAACATAAATACATCCTGGTTAGTCGCAAGAGAAAACTATTGTACATACAAACATTATATTCAATCTATTTCATAGCAAAATTTTAAATAAATAACTGAAGAAACACAACTTAAAAATAATTATCACACCATCATTTGAACACCCCTGTGAACAAGAAATAATAATAGTAATTTTTATTCACATAAAATTACATTTAATTTAATACATTCCAACATTTGTTGTATTTATTTATTTTCAGTTATGTCATTTTTGGTTGTCCATAGAAGACAAGACAGAGAAGCCAATCATAGAACCTGAAAATTGTATAGTGCAGATGTATAATTGCAGTTGAATGAATATGACATGACTCACAAATTCTCAGAAACCAGTGCTCATTAATAATTTGTATATTTATTATCATATAATTCTTACAACAATTACCAATTCAATGTACAAGGAAAACCATATCAGGGATGAAAACTACACAACAAATAAATCTTGGCACTCAGAAACATGGTTTTCTTAAAATCCATTATCATTAATGTCACAGACAATAGCAAATGGTTATTAGCGTGTTAATACAGTTGTAATATTGTAAGTCACCATGTTAACTCATCTTAACAAAAACATTGTTCTTACACAAATGTGTAATAAAATAAAATACACATTTCTTGTTAAATATAAAAATGGTCAAAACAGTTCCAGGAGCAAAACATCTGGAAACCATCACACTTATATCGAGAACGAGGTTGGATTGAAGGGAGGGAAGTGGCTTTATGGTGCATTGTGCTGTTTAGGTCAGTGTCTCCCCCTTTGTTACCTATGAGAAAGAGAAATATAGTTTCATTATACTATTATGCATTATATAATCCCTGGTTAGTTAAATTATCCTTCTTACTCTTGCTTCAATGTATTCAATCCTCCTTTCCAGCGCTGTTAGCTTCTCATTGAGGGTGGCCAAGCGAGATCGGCAGGACATGTCTAAGGATCAAAATGTTATTATTAACATATTCGGTTATAATGATTACACCACACTGTAATGTAGTGGCAGTGTAAATGCAAATGGCATCGAACTATATTGTTAAGGCAAAGATATAAGCACTCTACAGTTCAGATAAAAAACGCCAACAAAAGTACATTTAAACCAAGATATTGGTTTTGTGGTCGGAGAACGGAATCCATAACTAGCTTTAGCATGTTAGCATTGACAACACAACATATCTTATTATTCGTATTCCACTAGTACCGCAAAATATAATATAATGGCGTTTTTGTGTGGCAACCAAGCGTGCAAAGTGAAATAAACTGTTGATAAATAAACTATCAGAAAAAGAAAGCAAAAAGCGTCCTATTTTCGTATTTGGGAGTGGCAAGAGAACATCAACACTGATAGCAATAGCAAGCGACGTTGCACTTCTATCATCACTGCTCTTCTACCAAATAAAGATAGGTATATGACTTTTACCAAAGGAATTAAGGAAGTCAGCAATCTTCTTAATACTGCTGGTTATAACTTCAATGTATTCTCGATTCGCCCAGTCTTGGTGGATCTCTCTCTGCACCGGGTCCTCCTGACCAGCCATGTTGAAAGCATCAGACAATCAGGAAGCAGCACAGCAGAGTGCTTAAGGCATGTACGCGACCGACTTATTGCAGAACTGTTGCCCATTTACAATTAAATTGCATTAAAATAAATGTTGTGTGTATTTTAAATTGCCCAATAACTGACAAACAATACAGGTGCCGCAATTTTTTATTGAAGAAAATAGATGTGTTTAGTTTTAAAGACTATCTTATATAAATACTAACAACACAGTGGCATAACTCGTCTTTCACATACATCAGAAGCCCCTTGTACAAAAGGTTTAAAAGAGCATCTTCATTAAGTAAACAGACTCATCAATTAAATATGTTGAAAATATTACATTTGTGAGATAGTCTTATTGCAGTGATCAAGAAGAATATTTAAAAACTAACTTTG